TCTGATATTGCTTGAGACTCTGATACTTGGGACTTTTTTTTATTTCACTAAAGCCCACAACATGGGGTATGTTAGTACGATGAGAATTTAAAATTTGAACAATCAACATTTTTACAGTAAACAAAGATCTATTGTATATGCATCATCTCAAAATGGTAAATATAGTATATATCTGCTAAAGTCAACAAAATAGCTGGGTTATGCACGCATACGGTATTATAATCATATTCTAAAGAAATTTTTAGTACGAAACCAAATCTGTTTCATATTTGGATAATTTTCTAGAAAAAAGACGTTAATGGTAATCTAACAACAAAGCTTTATGATAAACATGATGACTTTTACTTTTCAATCGTCAACTTCCCTTACTTATGCAGCAATATACCTTCATCACCTGCATACGGGGTTTATATCTCTCAGTTGATTCGATACGCAAAAGCATGCTCTACGTATGTACAATTTCTAAAACGAGGTAAATTATTGACAAACAAGTTGATGAAACATGAATATCAACAGTCTCGTTTAAAGTCGTCATTTGGTGAGTTCTATGGTCGATACAATGACCTTGTCAGCAAATACAATTTACCATTAAGTCAAATGCTGACTGACTTTTTTCATACTTATTGTTAGGCCATTATTTACATACTGAATTGTCGACGGATTTTTCCATTATTTCCCATTCATGACAATTAAGGAGCACACGGCGGGTGTGACCGGTCGGCAGGGGATGCTCACTCCTCCATGGCACCTGATCCCACCTCTGATGTTTTGGAGGTCCGTGTTTGCTATGCTCCAAAATTTGTATTGTTTAATGGACTTTTGAGCTTGAATACTGTTCGTTATCTCCAAATATTTCATCCTACAGGCAATCCTTGATCTCAGAAGCATAAAAATATTTCTTCATTATCAAGTACATATGTAGATTCCTATCTGAAATAAAAAGAAACGTATGTGATATCAAACGCATCCTTTCGAATATTTGTACATGTAAGGTATTTTGACACCTCTAATTTTGGCAAACTTTAATAATACTTGATTTTATATTGCTTACTTCATCGAAGAATACTCAAAGTTGGAATATTTGGGTAAATTGGGTTGCATGGACACTAAAATGAACTAAAAAAGGATATTATGCAGGATCATTCATAAATACGTAGGAAATGTTGCTCTTCGTCATATTATTTTTAAGATATTAAGGATCCACACATGATCATATGTGAAAACATTTATTTTTTATTTGATGTAAAAGGTGAAGAAAACGAACAGTGATCGAGCTAAAAAAATATGTGAAGAGGTCATAATACACGGACCCCTGGAAATTCCAATGGTGGGATCGGGGCCTAGGAGGAGTGAGCATCCCCTGTTAAGCGGTCACACCCGCCGTGAGCCCTATGTATTGATCATATAGACGGAGAATTCTGTAGTCAAATTCAGTACAGTATAAAACAAAGGCCTAGCGATTGGTATGAAACAAGTCAGCCAAAATACGACCAAATGATAGATCATATTTGCTAACAAGGTCATTTTAACGACCATAGAATTTACGAAATACCGACTTTAAACGAGGTTGTTGAAATCCCAGTAATATCAACTTATCAGTAAGTAGCATGCCTTGCTTTAAAAAATTGATCGTACTCAGAGCAAGCTCTTGAGTAGCGAATGAATTGGGAGACATAAACGCTATATAATCAGGTGATAGTGGAATATTACTACATAAATAAGAAAGGTTGACGATGGAAATGCTGTCGTCATCTCGGTTGTCATACAATTTAGTACGCTTTTCAACATAACGTCAAAGACATAACGTTATGACAATTTCGAAAAAAATACACCACCTCTGCATTTCAAACATGGTCTATGGCGCCTTACAAATTTCTTTAAAAAATTTCTTTACCACTTTCAAATATGGCATGTCAAACGTTGCAATATTCGATCTTTAAAAAATCCATTTATATTGTACAATTTTCCTTTCGTATTGTATAAGTTTTATTTGTATTGTATAATTTGTTATTTATATTCTATAATTTTCCATTTGTATTGTATGATTTTTATTTGTATAGAATAATTTTACCATCTGTATTCTATATAATTATACAATACAAATGGAAAATTATGCAATGCAAATGGAAATGGAAATTATAGAAAACAAATGCAAAAGATTGAATATTGCAACGTTTGACCACAGGTACTTGTGGACAGGACCCCCCCCCCCCCCCCCCTCCAATATGACCCACAGGTCAAAAAATATTTTTGTGTATTTTTTTCATAAATTATTCTTCTAGTACACATTTACAATGTATTCCATAAGAAAAATCCAAAAAATAACGCAGAATTAACGTTTTACTAAAAAATCATACCCGCGGTATTATAAAATAGAGAAGGTAAGTCACTTCCATTTGTTTACGCTGGACCCCTCTTGGATATCAGCCCCGAAATATCATTTACCTAATACATTTCACCGAAATGTGTCATGATGTCTTGTTTCGGTAGATATTTTTGTCTTTAATCGTGCTATTTAATTGCCCAGGCATCCCATAATAATCCGAGTATTCATCGTCAAACGTGAAAAATGCTACAAGATTTGGAAATGTCAGAGTAGAAATTACGGAAGTGATGCAAAAACGACACCTAGCGTGTAACTCTCGAGTTCCGAGTGTAATAGAACTAAGGGAAAAGTCAGAGGTCTACGAAAAAGTTCGGGAAAATTTTGATAAAGAAGTCGAAATTGATTTATTAGAATTAAATTCTGCTTAAGATTTTCGAGATGAGCGAGGGTAGTCGTCAATATTCCCTTTAAAGGATGTTATCATTGATACCAAGTAGCGGTTTAAAAATCGCTTAAACATTATAAACTTGACATGTAAAGCCCCCCCCCCCCCACTCCACCTCGGCCGCCTTCCCCATCTGCATGGACATGGAATTTTCATTAAATTGTGTCTGCGGAAAGGTGGATATCCGTTTAATTAATGTGGTAGTAAATATAATATTTAGAATGATAAACTAGTTTTAAAAATAAGTAAAGACAGAAATGTGATTATTTAAAACTGTACAAAAAATCTCTTTGTTTCCCCATTTGTTATGAATTCGCTACATGTATTTAATCAATATTGATTAATTTGGGGACGGGGGCTGTGCAACGTCATTACAAGTTACAGTTTTGGAGAAAAACAAATTGACCGGTTGATGAATGGTTGTACAACCCATGCAATATTTAAACGTCAATTGCTACGTAATACAAGTTGCAATTATCTAACTATGACTGTTAGAAAAGACGTACCTAAAGAACTTTTTTTAAAGTCTTTATTTTATAGAAGTTAAGCTTCCGTTTGTTCAATTAAAATAATAGCAGCTTGATATATATGTAATCAAGGCCAGAAATAAACTCAGCAGTGCGACGCGAAAGTAAAGAAAAGCATGAAAATTAATTTTTAAAAAAAATGGGATTCTGATTTTCATTTTTAAGAATTAATTTTGAAAAGACTCACATTTAAATTCCTTGGCAAATGATAATCATCGCATAAGAATATTAAAAAATACACATAATTATTAAGCTTAATATTATCGGAATTAATTGCAAGCATGTCCATGTAGAAGGGGAAGGGGGGTTAAATATCTTGTAAGTTGTAAATAAATGTTTAAGCGATTTTTAAACCGCTACTTGGTATCAATGATAACATCCTTTAAAGGGAATATTGACGACTACCCTCGCTCATCTCGAAAATCTTAAGCAGAATTTAATTCTAATGAATCAATTTCGACTTCTTTATCAAAATTTTCCCGAACTTTTTCGTAGACCTCTGACTCTTCCCTTAGTTCTATTACACTCGGAACTCGAGAGTTACACGCTAGGTGTCGTTTTTGCATCACTTCCGTAATTTCTACTCTGACATTTCCAAATCTTGTAGCATTTTTCACGTTTGACGATGAATACTCGGATTATTATGGGATGCCTGGGCAATTAAATAGCACGATTAAAGACAAAAATATCTACCGAAACAAGACATCATGACACATTTCGGTGACATGTATTAGGTAAATGATATTTCGGGGCTGATATCCAAGAGGGGTCCAGCGTAAACAAATGGAAGTGACTTACCTTCTCTATTTTATAATACCGCGGGTATGATTTTTTAGTAAAACGTTAATTCTGCGTTATTTTTTTGTATTTTTCTTATGGAATACATTGTAAATGTGTACTAGAAGAATAATTTATGAAAAAAAAAAACATAAAAATATTTTTTGACCTGTGGGGCATAATGGGGGGGGGGGGGTGTTCCTGTCCACAAGTACCTGTGCGTTTGACATGCCATAACTTTATACTTAGTTTGCTAACAATTTGACAATGCAGATGCATACATGTAGTTATTGATAATTCCTTTCCTTGGAGGCCGTGCGTTCATCGTCCAATACGGAGTCTCTTAAACTCAAAAAAATTTGTGACATTTATACATACATACACGGCTAACTTTTGATACATCTTCTGCATCCTCGGGCTTTTTGAGTTTGTTACTGAAATTTTCCGAGTGCAATACAAAATTGTATCGCCAATCAATGCTTCGAGACGTACTTTATTATTTTTTTAATTTTAATTTTTCGGATTTATAATTAAATTATTTCTGTCGAATTTGGTCATAATATGACTTTAAATATAAAAGTTACGACAAAAGAACGTATTTTTTTTGAGAATGAGCCTCGTACAATAAGCTTCCCTGTTTGTGAAGAGGAATACCATGGCTATGACCTGTTCTATATCTTTGGCTCTGAAATCCACTTACAGTGACCCTTATATGTGTACAATCTCTCTCTCTCTGTTGCGCTCTTAAATTCAATAACATTTGACAGCCTTTTTAGGGTCTGGCAATGACCATGACAATGACCATGGCAATAATTTTCTCTGTGTTGGAATCCTTAATGCACAACCAGTGACTCTCATGCATTGAAACCCTTCCTTCTCTCTGACTCTTAGACATACATCTTTAAAAAGATATGACAAAGCCAAGTTTAATTTATGTTGATTTATTTTTTACCATTGATCGGAGGTAGTATCTTTTATGTTTTAGATAATATTTAATTTTCATGACTTGATTTATTTGACATTGCGCAACAAACAGATTGTCATTTGTATCTGTACACAGTCCCAAAGGGTAATGCATCCCACAGTCTATGTAATGGAGGAACTGTCCATCCTGGTCTATGATGTGGACACAGTGATTGTCATAGTCAGATGTAAGAATGTGACCCCAACTGTCTGTGGTGATTCCTTGTGGAAAATATGGTCTGTTCTTTTGAGTATGTCCAGTGTATCTGAATCTCAGTTTCCCGGCCTGATTGACCACCACTACTGCTCCAGCTCCACTGTCAGACACACAGATATCCAGATTCCTGTTTTCATTAACATATCTGTTATGTGTACCCGAGGAATAAAGTGGTTTGCCTTTATCATCAAACTGAATGATTTGTTTCTCTATAAATTTACCAGAGTAACGAACAACTTTTGCTTGTGTGTAATCATTACTGAACATGATAACCAGGAGGTCACCAGAGGAGGTACTACAGACACCGCGAGGTCTCCAGTTCTGTAGTCTGATCACCTCCTCTATGTGCTCATTTTCCACAATGTTAACAGTTCTATCACTGTAATCAGTATAAACTAGATCCCCATTTTGTGTTACGGTTAAATCAATTGGTGAGATCCCTGACTTGGTTCTGATTGACTTGAGTAGTGATCCCTGATTGATGCTGAAGAGTTTCATGGTGTTGTCATCTCCACTTGTCCAGATTTCTTCATCATTCAGACAGGCCACATTGTAAAATCCTTCAAATCTAGTGTGTAAGGTTGTGACGGTCTGTTGTTCCATTAAAAAATGACGTTTTTTCCTATTTTTGAAGAACAATTGTGCCTGCACACAATTATTTCATTCGTTATAAAAATCATAAGGCTGTTTAAATCAAGTGAAAATATCTTTTTGCTTCAATTCATTGAGATCAGTACTAAATTTGTAAAATAAAATACCTACCGGTAGTTTCATACAGAAATGGGCCTCCTTCATCAAAATAAAAATATACACAATCGAGTCACGTGATCTACATTATACATATAAAAATAATACATATATAAAAAATAAAGAAATATAAAGAAAATACATATAAAAAAACTTTTTTGGTTACTCAATACTGAAGACAAAGAAACTCTTAATTCTGTGGGCAAATTCATAAATGATAACATGTTGTAGTAGTCATACAGTTTTATATATAGTATTCCCTTTAACTGAAATAGTACAATATTATTGTTGAAATGAGTAATGTCATTTACAAGTTGTTATACTATCCATTGGCATATCTTTTCTTTATTATTGTAATAATTTCATACTTGTCTGTTATGGGCTCTAAATTAGAAAATAAATGTTCTGTTCTGTTCTGTTCTGTTCTATATTACTTAGACTGGTACCCTGACATTGGTTAACGGGCGCAATTCCTAGCGGTAGCGACTGGAATCAAGGGCAGAGAACCAGTGCTATATATTACTTAGAAATTCAAAGTATAAATAAATGAGGAAAACATCTGCCAAAAAAACTCTGAAGAAAGAATTCATCAACTGCACGTCATAAAACCAGACAAGTGATATACGGTGTATGGCGATTAGGCACCTCCAACTGTCCGCTTTTTTCTTGTAGAATATGGATTCAAAAAATTTACTGTGCAACATACTTCATATATTTACATACACTCTTGAATAACGTATCACGCCTATGTACTACAAGTTTCTTAAGTGCCTAAAGATTAAAAAAAAAAATTACAATTAAAGTAGGTCCGGGCTTTCAAAAATTTCTGTGAAATTAATATTTCTTTCACTTAAATATCTCAAATAACTTACAAACTAACTAAAAAGCTCATAAAACACATGCCTTTGCATGCTTATTTTCATACAACCTTTCTCAGAGTACATACCTTTCAAAATTCAACAGCCAAAGTTTAACATAGAGAAGTATGATTTCATATTTTATTTAGTTATGCATCAAAACACATCATATTTAGTTTAAAACTTATTAAAATCAAAAATGTTCATATGCTAAGTCAATTCTTGAAGATTTTAAATGGAAAAGATTAACAAATTGATGTTGAATCTGTCCATGTCCTTCAGAGTTTAAAAAAATCTCAAAATACCTAAATTTTGAATAATTCTCAAAATCTAAACTAACTACATGCCATTTTTACCTTAAAATTATTTAGAATTATATCTTATATTAACAAAAACACAAATTTTATCGTGATTGACCACATAAAATTTACAAAACAGTCTTTTGAACATGGATACCCAATTTTAGGGATAGCAAGTTTTACATCTATTCTTTGCAAAATTTGAAAAAAAGTAAATATAAAAATGTGGAACAGTCTTAAAATTAATAAAAATAGATCTCGAGTCAATTTTTTATGAAAAATACTTAATATTTTAATCCATACAGGCAATTAAGATTTTGAAGTCTCTGTGTGTGTATACAATGACTTATAGACCCATTGGACAGAGTACCAAGTCTTAATTTCCATAAATAATGTATATTAAATGTCTTGTATGCACAGTGACACAATAATAAACAATTACATACTTGCTGTATTGTTAAGTACCATCTAAGAAAATCATTTCGATAGACAAGTGATAACCAGAATTTTACAATTGCTGTATAAAATTACAACCAGATTCGTAAAAGTATGGACCAACCTTAAAGTCTTGAGTTTCCCCTCCCTATCTAAATTCCAAGATTCTCGTTTTAATTTGAAAAATACCCCTTTTTCTTTTTTTCTGTGGCGAAGGGGTTGCTACAATTTAAGAAGAGAATGTGATCTAGAATAAAGGCTCATTTATTTATATGATCTAGAATGTATCAGATGTATGTTAAAATCTCGCATTAAGCGATTGAGGGGCAATATGAGAACCATCTTTCCTTCTGTGTTCAATAATTCAGAAGTGAAAAAAGAATTAGATAGACTACACGATCAGTATGTACTGGTCCCAGCTGACGAAGCAGGTAACAACATTGTCTTTGTTTGTAAGGCTCATTATATAAATTGTATTTTAGAGGAACTGGGATTTAATTCTACAAGTGGTAATCAAACTTATACCCATAGCTCCCTTTCTTAGGAGGAAATTCTTCAAAATTACATATCAGTTTTGAATATTTTTAATATTCCCAAAAACCAAAATGAAATTGAATTTCCATATTTATATTGGATTCCGAAACTTCATAAAAACCTTACAAACAAAGATACATAGCGGTTTCCAGTAAATGTTCTACCACTCTTCGCTAAAATATTAACAGCAGTGAAGGAGAAACTTCAGCAGTACTGTTCAACAATATATTCGAGAAGTGGTGTAAATCAGATGTGGATACATAAAAATTCCAAGGAACTTTTGGAAAATTTGAAATCACAAAATTTTGCAAAAATCAATAACATAAAAACTACGTCTTTTCAACTCTGTATACAACCATTCCCCACGATAACACGTGTCATAATTCAAAGAAATTGATTTCCATTGTTTTGAATATTTGTGTGAATTTTTTTTTCTTTTCTCACATGAATTTGGAGCTGACCTTGATGAAGAAATTTCTTTTTCCAATTCTTTTTTTCTTTCAACTTATAACCAGATGGAGATGAAAAATTAAAAAAAAAGAGAAGATTTTCCTAAAATACCAAAATCAAGTACTTGCATAAATAATAATATACAATTGTAAAGTTTCATAATCTATTTCTCTGTCTTTTTCATAAATAACTCAGATGAACCTGAATGATTTCAGTTGTTATTTATTTACCAGAAGTCTAATTAGCAATTAATTGAATTATTTCTCCATAGAAAAAAAGGCATTTCTGTTTAATTTAAAGTTTATTTTATATTAATCATTTCTCAATTAAGTCCATTTATTCTTCTTTCAAACTTTAAGATGAAAATTTTGTACAAAATAATCAAATTCCTGAAATACCATATTTAATTTTTAGAGTTTCTTATTGTAAAAGGTGATCAAGAAGAACTGTGTTAAAAAATATTTGTATCAAACGACAATGTAATGATAGAAGTAAATGTGTTTATTATCAAACGAATATTTAATGATATAGGAGTAATTGTGATTAATTGTTTTTACATTTTTAAATGGATTTGTGTATACAATAAATTATCTACTTTTAGATTAAATTCTTTGTTAAATTAATTTTTATGTCCTAACGGTAAAAGATGGTTATCGGATTAAACACTACAAGCAACTAGGATTAAGAAAAAGAAAAAAAAAATACTTGTACATAAAATGAAAACGTTTTCTTTTATTTGTAAATCAAAATTATAATGCTAGTAGAGTACATGCAAGTACTTTTAAAAGCTGGGAAGGTGGGTGTGGGTGTTGATGTAACGTTTATTGAGCAAAATTTAAAAACAATTTTTACGAGTTGATGGAACATCAACTCAGTTGCGCTCTTACTCAGGTTTTCCTTCATTGCAACCAAACAACACAGCTCATTTATTTAGTTTCTTCTACAATAATTTATCTTTGAGTTTGAAAAATTCAACATAAATGAAAACGAACATATTTTTTCTACACATTATACTTTTCAAAAAGCAAATTCATATTAGGTATACATAATATTTTTATCGAATTTCTTTATTGTGTCGGTCCGACAAAAAATATAGTGCACTTTAAACCGCTGAAGAAACAAAAGTGTATTTCGTCACTTCTCATATTCCTGTATATGCATACATGTATGTGCGGAGTCAATTTTTTTTAATTTCATTTTTTTCAAACATATGATTTATTAGATGAATCACTTAAGAATGCTGAAGAAAAAGGTTTGAGATTAAACACTGTTAGAATCTTCAAATAGACTGAGCTACTTTTCATCTTCCTACGCACCACGCTGTTTAATGAATTCACATTGGCACGAAAATTCGGCAGCGTTACTTCAAAAGAAAAAGACTAGAAACATACTAGGGGAGATAAAGGAGACACATCAAGGTAATTACATTTATGCATAGTTATATGTAATTCTGATAGATAATTAAGCTAAGTCTGTGAGTTTATCGATGGTCATACTGATCGAGTACACATGTTGCATGTTAATAATAGCGCCATCTTCTCCTCACTGCTAATGGCTCGGCTTTGTACAAAATTTTCTCTTCAAGACGATGCAGAGTCTATTAATTCAAAAAGCTATTTGTTTATTTAAAGAGCACGACTCTTACTACATGTATTAAGGCTGGGGTTGACCTGGTAAAATAGGCGAAACTTATCTCCATCACTGTCAGTGTAGCTGATAAGAACTACACTGAGCAAAGTCAGCTCTGTTTACAAATTAGCCGTAGTAATCTTCCAATAAATTGTGTACGTCATTAAATAATTATGTTGTACAACTGAAACTTGCGCACTCTTTGAATCTGTATTATTGATCAATTAATTTTGAAACAATTCGATCTGCTGTATATACAGATGTACATAAATCACAAGACATAAGATTCTCGAACATAATAAACCATTAATGTAAATCTCATAAAAAAGATACTTGCAGTTTCAAGTTATCGTCTTTTTACTTTGGAGAACATTGTTTGAAAATAATTTAAGACAACAAAGTATATACTGAAAAAGAAACATTTTTTTATTTATTTTCTGAATAGCACCATATTTACATTAATTAATCTTATCCCTAACACACGAAGAGGCACTGCCACAGAGTCTATACCACAGTATTAAATGTTAGCATCATATTTAAAAGGGGAATAACTCAATTTTCTCTTAGAATTAGTAACAAATTTAAAGTGTTTGGTTCATTTGGGTAAAACAATTATTTTATGCATACATAATCTTCTGGTAACAAATGATTTAAAATGAGTAGAAACTTTGTATACATTTTAAAGTAAATTAATTAATATTTGTCAATGCAAAATGCTTACTTGAAAAAAAGAGGCTTTGTTAAAAAATTGCCGACAATTAAATGTTGACAAGTTTTGTCCAGAAATTGGCTGAGAAATTGAGAATTTATTTTATGAGCTAAATAATTGTATTTTGTCTAGTTTTTAAATGTGAGTAAAGCATAGAAAAATAGAAACATTTCTGAAATTTCTAAACAAGAGGGAATTCCAAAAATCCTGGAAATTGAGAAAATTAAATTCAATCAAATATTTACTATATGTAAATATATACAATGCTATGTGCCTCTCAGACCCTTGATTTTACTTTTGTAGAAGCATAAACCACAAATGACAGTGCAAAAGAGATGGTCATTGCTTTGTGCCTGGGAAGATATGTATAAACCTTTTGCTGAAGTACTGGAATTTCAAACATAGATGTATTGAAGAATTCAGCTGTCAGTGTTTTGTATGTTGGAGGACAACCACCCCTTGATTTCAAATGTGAAGTGAAGAATGTCCATCTTTAAAATAAGGACTTTTCCCTTATATAAATATTCTTTGGTAAAAATTAATTGAATATCTTCTTTTGCAAGAAAATGACTCTCATAATGTGTCAATGTTACAGGACTTTAAAATCTGCAACAGTTGTGTTGATTACATTAGTTTGACCCTGTGTTTCATGATTGTATCATTACTTTCATAAGTGTAGCATTTATTTGTAAATCTGAAATCTGGATGCTGTATAAAACTTCTTGTATTAAGATTACATTTTTGTTTTTGCTTTCTACATGTATATTTGAAATACTTGTGTCAATTATGAAATATTTACGGACAAAAAAAAATTTGACAATGACTTTCTAAAAATTCATTCTCGTATACTCTTTATTGGCTTACTACACTTCAAACTGGAAGACCAGAATAGTGTTTTAAAAATCTACATTTTTATACAAGGTATAATACTAGTAATTGATCATAACAAATGTAAAAGGAATACTTGCTGCATGCACACTAAGGAATGTCAAAAAGTCTGGTTTTAATACACTTTATGATAGTTGTGCAAGTGCATTTCATTTGTTAAGATAAGGCAGCAATGCTTAATAAATGTATAAATCGTATAATTATACTGTAAAAAGAAAGAATTTTTTTTTCTTATAATATCACAAAGTATTATTTGTTAAATGGATTTTAAAATACATTACATCATGTCATGAAATTCATAAGAAATCAAATGAAAATTTAAATTTCTGTTTCTAAACAGACATTTCAATTTTTCATCACAAAAGCAATACATTAGCTAAGCTTGGACAACCATCAACTCGTATCAGTACTTTCAGTACTTTGATTATATATGCAAGCTCCTTCTTGATATGTAGTTAAATTAGCAAAAATATATCCTTAAGTCAGAGGTTAGTTTAACATAGAAATATGTCGGAAACTGTAGTGCCGATATTTCTTTTTTGTAATCTGTACCTTCTTTCCAATGCATGTCAGAGTAAATTACTGAGGGTAAGATAGGAATCTATTTAGAACTTTTCCAGATTTACAAAATTATACTTTATGTAAGGAAGTTAAGAAACTTGTATAATGCCCACTCTCATGGAAACCGAAATGTTCTAATATTTCATCGTCTCAGTGTCTTAAATATGATACTTGTAAGAGTTATCTTTCTTCTCTTGCTTCAGAATTGTTTTTCTACACGCGCGCTAAACGCAAAGTCGTAAAGACATGATCTCGAGTAGAAACATAAAATCAAGTCTCTTCTACCACATAATATGCACTTATAACACAAAAACACGTAGTTCTCTCTGAAGTAAAATGAAGTGGGTGGGATATCAAACACATCCTTTCGAATATGTGCACAAAATTTTATTGGCCAATCAAAGGCCCCGGAAGGCATTGTGACAAATGAAATTACAATTTAAACATTATTACAACGGAAAACAGTAATAATGCATATTTGTACAATGTATATAGTTATAACCAAGATACATTATTTATGTCTTATGTTCATGATCAGTTGAAAGTAAATCATGCAATATAATGTATAGTAAATGTTAATACATGTATATGTATTTAAACATTTGAATGTTCTTTTATATTTCAAAAATAAATTCCCAAAACATGCATGTGCATAGTAATACATGTACAAGTATTTATAAATTTGTACTTTTACTGTAAGTAAACAGGTAACTTCTTTTCTTTCATTATTTAAATCTTATAGTTTTTAAGCAGGTGTTTAAAAAGAGAAAATTAATTTTTGAAAAGGTTTCCATTAATTGTTACCTTTCATTGTTATATTTTGGACCAAAAAAAAAATATATATATATTCACCTTTAACCTCCTGCATATCAATTTAAGAGCCTACTCTTAAATCAGCGGGAAGGCCGGTATATCTCCTCTTTACAGTATTTAAATATTAATTAAAATATTTAAATGCAGAAATGCGGAGTTTAGTTAAACTTTTCCTCTGATTAAAATTATTAAAATTGTAAGATAGCGCTCTCTTCCAAACTAAGTTCTTAGTTTGCCTTATTTTGCTGCTATTTTTTTAAAGGAAAAGGCTCTTTGACATATTGAATATGCTTCTTTGAGTAAGACAAAAGATGGATATATGGACATGTAAGGTGTTTGACACACTATAATCTTGGCAAACTTTTATGGTTTATTTTATAGTACTTACAACAAAGCAATTTTCGCTTAGTCAGATATATGCTTAGGATGAATGGACACCGAAATGCACTGAAATTGGACATTAAACAATAATCTTCTCTAGCTGTTTGTCAAGAGGAATACCATGGTAATGAGAACATTACAAGACCTGTTCTCTATATTTGGCTCTGAAATCCAATAGCAAAGACTCATACGTGAACCATCTCTATCTCTCTCTCTCTCTCTCTCTCTCTCTCTCTCTCTGTGTGTGTGTGTGTGTGTGAGAGAGAGGGTGTGTGTGTTGCACTCTTAAATTTAATTTTATTGACAATTTCTTTCGGGTCTGGCAATGACTTCAATACAACATTTATCAACTGTGTTGGATTTTATAATACACAACCAGTGACTCTCCTGCATCAACAACCCTTCTCTTTCTGACTCTTAGACATACAGTTAATTTACCTTGATTTATTTTTGACCGTTGATCGGAGATGGTATCTGTTTTGGTTTAAATAACATTTAATTTTCATGACCTGATTATTTTGGTATTGAACAACAAACAGATTGTCCTTGTATCTGTACACAGTCCCAAAGAATGTTTCCTATAGTATTCTATATATCGGCAAAATTATTGGGGGAGGGGCACCCCCTCCCGTTCCTACGGCCATGTACTCCTCACTCACTCGAGCTCATTCAACATCCAATATTCATACTGTACCCTTCTCACTGACTTGGTCAAAAATAATGAATTATACAGTTTTTCACTAATTTCTCCTAAACCTTATAGCCCAAATTCAGTTTTTAGTAAATTGTGCCAATGACCATGAAAAAAAACGCCCACTGTATTTCATACCTCATAATGATGAGAATATTTTCGGTAGGTTTCTTTATATCAACTCTTGTCAGATGAAAAAAAATGGATGAAAGAAGTTATTAAATATTAATCGCAAACAATGAAATTCTGCCCTGGAGATATAATATGAATCAAATGTAACATAAATCACTGTATTTCACAAAAAAGATGATTATTTGGCACTTTAAAAAAAGTGACAGCATTCTGAAATCGTTATGATAAATTAATTATGAATTAATGAGCTCATTGATAGTTTCGATTCAATGATTTGCATTCCATATAGCTGCTGTATTCAAGGCAGACAGATATGATAACGTAGTTCATAAGAAAGTGGAAATTTTGGATTCCATAGACTATACTGGAATTATTTATCTTCTGAATTTGTAGAAGACAGAAAATGCATATTTTTCTTACAAACCAATATATTTTTTTAACAAAGAATTATATAATTTAAATAAGAAAATCATAATAGGTTAAAGGGATTCATGACAACAGAATTTTTTAACGTAATTCACTATACTTTTCGTGACAATGAGATATTACAAATTTTCATTTCATTAGCACTATACTGGTAACTGCTTTTAATACAACATTTCTCATATTTTACTGCTGTGAGAAGAATTGATGTAATACATTAGATAAGATTATATTTATCCAACAACGATACAATTTTCTATTCGTACAGTAAGTTTGTGACATTTTTTTTCTAAGAGGTTCTGGATACTTTTCTGAGATTTTTAAAGACGTGCAAAATCAATTACATGGAGCGACATTAATTAAGCAATGAAGCAACAGACGGTCAACCAGCAAATGAAGAAGTGGAGGAAAGGGAAATAACACAGACTGACCATTTAAATAAGAGCTTACTGGGCGAATTTCTCGACCGGATAAACGGACCAGGCCCGTCGCCAGAACTTCCTCAGGTTGAACCGGTGGATGACGAAGGTTGGGAGGAAGAGAGCGAAGAGACGGAGAAAGATAAGTGAAGCATGACCGGAAGGGCACCTGTTATCGTTGGGATATCTGGGTGAGTTTTAATGTCAGGTACAATGTAAACTGGTGGTGTAACATACATATAACCAGTAACCAGTAAATTAAGAGGGTATTTCACAATAAAGTTAAAGGGAACACAAGTGTTAAATGTACTTATCTGTTGAGAATGTTTATTATCATGGTATTTTTTGACGTCAGAAGTGATAAAATTCATATTTATGTAATTATCTGTTAAAAATGTGTATTATTATCATGACATTTTTGTCAGAAGTAATCAAATTCAATTGTTAATATGTTCTAGAAAACATTACACATTGTATTATGTTTCATTGCAAATGAACTTGAAAAGAAATTTTAAAAATCACTAAGATTTATTTTTAGCCAATTTTTTCAAATTTTGTTACATGTCCCTTTTGTCAACCTCATTGTTCTATTGTTAGTGACATAATTTAGATACCTGTTTTCAATTCTTTAATTAATATTTCTGTATCTTGTAGTCATAACTGATTGGAACAAGTAGTATTTTAACATCTATATAATCATATACATATAGATAATTTTGGCTTTAAAAATTATAGTAATTTCAAACTAAATAAATAAATTTTATGTTTAGCAGAGCTTTTGAATTAATGAATCTCTTAAGTTCATTCAATACAACAACATCTTGTTTATGAGAATCCTAGTATTAGTATGTGCTTTTATTCAAAATTAAAGGTCGACAATAATAGTGCTGTAAATACAGTATTCAGTTTTTTAATGCCCGGAAAAAATTCATTACATGACTCTATGTCAAAAAGCATATACTTATATTTAATTGTTTTCTTTTCATTGAATACGTCATAGAAATGTTTCAGACAACATACACTTGTTTAATACACACTATGCCGTGTATAAATGCTAACACTGATATGACAATATATGTTGTAACTTTATGTATCATCTTTTCATATTCAATTTATTTAGTTTTTCTGATCCTTTTCTCTATAATGTTGGTTTGTTCATTGTACCTTAAAAGAAAATTTGAAATGCATTTTCCATTAGCGATAAAAAAAAGCCTTCATAAATAATAGTTATATATTGTATATCATGAGAGGAAGAAAACGCTCGCTGTGGCCTTCAACTCGACATTTAGATATATATCGACGACTCATTACCAATTAAGAATTAATTGTTACTTCCATCCATATAAATACTTCGGTACTACATGTAGTTTGAAAATACGGATATATATTTAATTGCTAAAATTCAGAAATTTCAAAAATAAAGGATTATCTCCCTCATGCATAGCTCTGATCCTTCGAAGTATTTGGCTCAAGTCTTTGGCACTGCCTTTTTTAGCTCTTCGATTATTTTTTAATTAAAAATGTAAATTCAATATATCCCAGTGAACTTGAAATAAAAGACATCACAGAGTCTGACACATCTGTTTTATATTTGGATATTTTACTAGAATTTTACTTGGACGTTAATAGTAAACCAATAACGATTTTTTTGATAAACGTGATGAATTCAACTTTCCTATTGTCAACTTCCCTTACTTATGTAGCAATAAACTTTTATCACCTGCATATGGGGTTTATGTCTCCCAGTTGATTCGATACGCAAGAGCATGCTCATTGTACGATCAATTTTTAAAACGAGGCAAGCTATTAACCAATAAGTTGATGAAACAACGATATCAACAGTCTCGTTTGAAGTCATCATTTCGCAAGTTCTATGGTCGAATCAATGACCTTATTAACAAATACATCTATCATTAGGTCAAATATTAAAGCTGACTGACTTTTTTCATACTTATTGTTAGGCCATTATTTACACGGATTTTTTCGTTTACCAGATCATGACAAGGAGCAAACAGCGGGTGTGAACGGTCGATAGGGGATGCTAACTCCCCATGGTCCCTGACCCCACCTCTGATGATTTTTTGAGATCCGTTTTTGATCTTCTCCTGATTCGTATAGTTTGAATGGACTTATGAGCATCTCCATATTTCATAATTATTCATAGTCTGTGAACACAACTTCCTTTACAGGATAACGAGTGGACAAAAATCACAAATAAGAGTTATTTATAATAATTTTTCACAATTAGTGACCATGCCTCCTTTTACAGGGTAACAAATAGTGGGAAGACGTCCCTGACCAACAGACTCCGAGCTCATCTGCCGGGATGTCGTACGATGTGTCAAGACTCATATTTCCTAGTAGGTTTGGACTACAATGCATGGTAGATTTGTTACGTATTATTTAAACCATATATTTTTATAAAATAAATGTTTTGAGTTGTATTATAAAAAATAAATATCATGAAAACTCTATGAAACGAATGTGGTTTATTTTACATGACAGAAAAGGTTAGAAGATACAGAGATCTTCTAATGTATAAAAATTAAAATGGCGTCACAAATTTCTAAAGTAAAGCAAAGGCATGATTAGTCATATTGATATGGAATCACCCTCAGGTAATTTAGATTTAAATTTGTTCATATCATGACCTCCGGGGGTAGGATGGTGCCACAATGGACGATCAAAGTTTTTCACGAGAATATATAGAAAAAATTATAGAATCTCTTCCTTTTATGACGCGAAGTCATTATTGTTCATATCAGGGTCCTGGGAATAGGATGAGGCTACACAGGTGATCAGAGTTTTACAAAAGAGTATATAGGAAGAAATCTATTCACGAGTGGCAAGACCACACTAAATCATATAAAAAAGAAAAAAAACATACATAAGTTATATGGAATCATTTTTTTTTTTAAAATTATGAACCCTGGAGTTAGGGTTGGGCCGAAGTCAGGACATAATTTTACATAATACCTCTACACAGAAAAAAAATCTTCTCCAGAACAACAAGGCTATGTTGATCGTATCGATAATGAAGCATCCCAATGTTGTATGAATTCAACTTTCACTAAATTATAGCTCTGATAGGGCTATGTGATTTTATTCTATGAGAAACAGGTTGCTAGGTCAGATATTAAAAGATGTTACCTAAGAGACAACCAACATTTCACACCAGTGCTTGTTTGACAAATGACACCTTTTGACAGTCCTCTGGACAATTTAATCCAAATAAAAATAAAACATAAAACTTTCAGTTAAATTTTAAAATCTACAAGGTATTTTTTTATGATTCCAGGGATATGTACAGTCTACAATTATGTTCCACACATAAACGTCTAACATTTTTGGTGACAATGAAGCACCATGTGCAAAGCACGTAATGCCTTTTTCTCAATACGATTAATACATGTGCTTGCTTGAAACATATAAAATATAATTACCTCATAACAAAAGTTTATAAAAAACATGTTGCATAAGTTAGATATAAAGCACTTTGAAATATGAATGTGTTCTCTGCATGATTTTTGTTTTTATAGACCATTCCTGTCATAAAAATGCTGATATTTATATTTATGCTTTCTATAACATTCTTCTCCCTGATTTACAGAGCCCCTCGGATTCTCGCCTGACCCCAATACCAGAACTAAACAATTACAACTTTGAGGGTTTGTACACTCTATGATTATAGCTATAAATTTAGTCATCTGTCAAGACTTGAAGGGACTCTGATCCAAAGCATTATCTATATCAAATATAAATGCACATTTTTAAAAGTAACGAAGAAAATTATATAGAGAAAGGTAATAGGAAAGAGAGAGATGTGAACTTCACTGAATTTCTTAAGATACAGAAGATTGAAGAAATGCTTATATTTTAGAACTGAATGCCCTTAACATGGAAGCAATGGTAGCAGATGTCCAGTCCTGGAAAAATGCTCAAAGTAACTCCACTCCAACGGTATCCACCCCTAATGATCTGTATAGCAATGTACTAATTATCGAGGGATTCAGGATGTATGCCTTGAGGTATAAAGGACCTCGGTATATTTACACCGACAAATGTCAATGATTACTTAAATGTTTGGGTATAGGTTTTTTCGGATCTACTTATGCCGTTATGTAGTTAGTTTTATATTTGCCTATGGTGATAATTTCTGAAACTATGTAATGCTGTTTGAATTTTACTACTACTAATAGCTTTCTGATAAATGTCTTGGTTTTGAATTGGTAAAATAAAATACCTACAATGTATTCTTAAAGGAGCAAGATTATTATTCTCCTTATCAGTAATTATTGCTGGGAATATTAATTTTGTTATGATCCTTATGGCTCTGAAATAGGCAAATAATTTTTTTTTGAGATTTGTCAGTGATCATTCAACGACAGCCCACTTCCCCCCCATGATTGCACGATTCTAAACATTTGTGTATATCATTCTTTTATAGGGAATTGGAGCAGCTCTTCATGAAGAAATACTTTTTTACCATTCCATATGAAGTGTGTAGAGTCAGAAGGAGGTAAAAATCCAAAGCAATGGACACATAGTACTTATAAAAACTATCAAATCTAAAGCAATAGACATATATTACTTATAAAAACTATCAAATCTAAAGCAATGGACATAATTATATTACTTAAAAAACTATCAAATCTAAAGCAATGGACATATATTACTTATTAAAAGTATCAAATCTTAAGCAATGGACATATATTACTTATTAAAAGTATCAAAATACATCATGTACAAATGTATTTTTCATAAACCTCTCAGGTGAACCCGATTTATTCTCAGTCTTTATTTATTTACTCTAAGATGTTTATTTATATAAAATCAAAATATTGAAGACTGAAGTTTTTCTCAAAATAGAAGACGACAGTATTTCCCCCCAGATGCGCCAGGATATTTTGAGAAAATAGTTTGGCCCGAGTTTATTCTTCACCAAAGAGAAATACAGGAACAAGATGATATAGGTAAAATTCGTACTCAAAACCATAGACTATAAAATGCAATAACACATTTCGGCCCCGGAATCATTCAACAGACTTTAAGAAGGGTCTAAATTACAGTCAAGTTGATTAACTATCAATTTCAATGCAAAATGTAAATATTATAAAAATTTTCACTTTAGATTGTCTTCTACACCAATTCAGCACAATATATGCCTGGATGATTCTGATAATTATATATCTGGAAATACTTGCTGAAAGATAAGATAATCATAATTTTTTTTAAATAATGTTTCGTGATCCAAAGCATGAAGCACAGAAATTTCTGTTTGAATGAACGTTTATTTTGAACTCCCCAAAATATGAGAAATGAATCTTACAATAAAATTGAATTTTCTGTGGTATCATTTTTAGAGTACCTTGGAGTCGGTGATCAAGAAAAACTATGTTTAAAAATTGTTTGTGATATAAAAAGACTTTGTAATGATAAAAGTAATTGTGTTTAATTTTTGTTTTACATTGTTATATATAAGGTGGCAGACTTTTGAAATGGATTTGTGTATACAATACAATATTTATTTTTAAATAAAAGTTTTTAGTCTTTGTGTATCTGCATATAAATATAAGCATATCCTCCCCCCATTTTTTACGCAAAAGAGTGAAAAGATGAGTTATGGTATTGTATGCTCTCTTCTAAACACTATGAGCAACCGAGATTAAGAAAAAGAAATACTTTTGATTAAAACTTTTCTTTGTATGTGAATCAAAATCATCCATAATATTGTACAAGTACATAGGGCTTTATAGTTGGGTGTGAATTCTATATAATTTTACTGTGGAAAAATCTTGACTAAAATTTTAAAACTGTTAATCATGCATTTTCCCGACGTTTAGATTCAAATTAGCTTAAATACAGTACAAGCAAATTCAAAGAATTTTGGTCTCCCGCTTTCGGTGTCTTAGTAGATGGGATGTCATTATTTTTGGCATATTGTAACTGTCTTGTTTGTGTGTCCTGTCTTAGTCTGTGTTACATACAAAAAGACAAAGATTATTGAATTAATAACAGTTATTGCAAAGATTATAGCTTATCAAAACTACACTTAAACTTCCTAAGATGAACGCCCTATCTTATGTCATTCAAAATTAATCAGGAATATTAATTTTTTGGAAATTAGATCAAATATTTAGGTCAAGGTCAAGGGGTAAAAAAGCATAGCATTCGCGGAAACGCCTTGTCACAGATAATGAACATGTCAAATATGAAAGCCCATCTTTTCTCAATCAAAAGTAATCAGCAAAGATAAAATTTTTGAAAACTTTCTATGATTTTTCCCTTTGCCTCTGTCTTTTTTTGACACGGTGTCATAGGCTGTGACATCATAGTTGAGCAGTTGAGACGTCATAGATTAGCGATGAGATTGAATACATTGTTAACATGGATTTCAACAACATATTTGGAGAAACATTAGCGGTTTTAGTTTCTATCAGGGTGGTTTATTTACTCTCTCCATCTTATAACACGCCAGGGAGGTTTTTTTAAAAACATTCTTCGTGAAGGGAAGGGAAATAGAGTTTTGTCGCACTTCTGATATTCAGTCACACTCTGACAGAATATCAGTTTGATGTACTTTCACACTGTGACAGAATATCACTTTTATACCATAAATTATTTACAGTATTTCACTGTTGAAATGCAACAAATTCTGATATTGCATCGTCTAAATATCGAAAATACAACACAAAAATTACCTTTCTTCATTACGTCTGCTAAAAGAAACAAAATAGGCCACACACACATACGGTATATCATATGCTAAAGACAGTTTTGGTAAGAATCTAAATTCTGAAGGCAATTTTTAATCTCGAGCAGAAACATTAAAAACATGTCTCTTCAGCTACATAATGTGTACTTATAAACAGGAGTACGTATACATGTAGATCCCAATCTGAAGTAAAATGAAGTGGGTGGAATATCAAACACATCCTTTTGAATATTTTACCTGTAAAGTATTCTGAGACACTCTAATTTTGGCAAACTTCTATAGCTGATTTCATATTGCTACATATAGCAAAATTCTCCAAGTCGAAATATTTGGGTAACATGGACACCAAAATTCACTGAAACAGACGTTATACAATAGTCTCCCCTGTTTGTTTAGAGGGATACCATGGCAATGGAACCTACTCTACATCTTGGGCTCTAAAACCCATTAGCACTGACTCATACGTTAACAATCTCTCTCTCTCTGTGTGTTTGTGTGTGTGCGTGTGTGTGTGTGTGTGTGCTTGTGTGTGTGGGTGTGTGTGTGTTGCACTTTTAAATACACTAGCATTGACAACCTCTTTCCGGTCTGGCAATGACTTCAATACAACACTGTCTTGTCCTATTCTATAACACAGAAACACTGACTCTAATGCATTGACACCCCCTTCTCTCTGACTCTTGGACGTACAACAAATACAGACAAATGAGACCAGGCATGACAAAGACAATTTGTGTTAATTTATTTTTTACCATTAATCAGAGTTAAAATTCAGTTTAGTTTACAAAAAACTGCATGTTGTATTTTTTGCTGGTCGACGGCATTAAAGCATTAAATATAGATATTAATATTTCATTTTCAAGATTTCATTAGGATTGCAGCACTTTTCAGATACCTTAATACTTCTAGAGTATAATTGTAAAAGCTTACTATGATTCATTGAGTGTATGCCCTTGCACTAGATCGATTTATTAAGACCCTTACATTACCCTCCGATGTACTTGCATACAAATATACGGCAGTATCAATTAAAAAGGAAATGTACGGAAAATATATGAATAAAATCATAAAGAAGACATTGCATCTAAGTTAATGGTCTCTTAAAATATCTGTAAATGATATTTCATTTAATCATAGAATACATTATTTGTTGTGAAAATATTACTTGATCCACCTCTCACTGCATACAAACTGCGTCAAGTTTTACGAAATGACGTCACATCGACAGGTGCATCGCGATCAGTGACATGTTTATACCTTGCTGTGTTGGATTTACCGGTAACTTACGACAAAACAGCGTGTCATAGTAAGTTTTGATATAGTTTGATGGTCTCCTTCTGTTTGAAATAGCAGATCATTTCATTTTGTGGGATTTTAAAGAATTGTTGGTTTTGTTTGATGTCATAGTTAATACTTCCCATACAAATTAGGCTCCGCCCCCTTTTTATAGCCTTAACTGTGCTGCGTAAAGAGGTTTACCATTTTCATTAAACTGAATGGTTTGTTTCTCTGTGGGGCCAGAGTAATGGACAACTTTTGAATGGTTTCCATTTACACTGAACATGATAACCAAGAGGTCACCAGAGGATGTACTACAGACAACTAGAGGTTTCCAGTTCTGTAGACTGATCATCTCCTCTATCTTCTCATTCTTCACAATGTTCACAGTTCTATATGTATCACTGTAATCAGTATAAACTAGAGCTCCACTTTGCATCACTGCTATACCAATAGGCGTGTTCCTTGGCTTGGTTGTGATTAACTTGAAAAGTGATCCCTGATTGATGTAGTAAAGTTCCATAATAATACTACTTCCACTTGTCCAGATTTCTGAAATTGTAGAACAAAAAACCGAATTTCATGCAGAAATGGCAGTTTCCTCCATCAAGATGAAAATATACACAATCCAGTAACATGATCCAAATCATGCGTATATTACTTAGAAAACCGAAAATATGACAAAAATTCAAAGTATACCGGAGTAATTAATCTTAGATCAAAGCCGTAAATCATGCCTGCTATCGGTTAAAAGAAATTATAAAGAGCTTTGGTGCTTTTAATGAATTGTTATTTACCTTGGTGCTCTGGGGGAAAATCTTGATATCAGATGTTAAAATTTGTTTCTGATCTGAAATTAAGTTTAATACTGAAGTTGGTGGAAATATTAACTACTGGGTGATCTTAGTCTGCTTCTGATCAGATATGAAATGTGAAACTACTGGGTGATCTTAATATGCTTCTTTGTACAGATAAGAAATGTGTTTTAGCTCGATAATGTTGTTTAAAATGTGGTTAGGTAAAGGATACTTGAAATTCAAAGTATATTTTTTAGTCCCCAATATGGGGTAAATAGGAAGGAAATTAAATAAATTAAAGGCAAAACACTACGTCAGCATTTATTAAAATATCCCAATCCCTGTCTCAACATGTTATTTGCATTGTTTGGTTTCATTTATTGACCTGACTCTAAAATTCAATTTAAGTCTGCGACAGTCTATAATGATATTAACATTAATTGATGCCACAATAAACAGAAGTCATGCATGTGACAATAGATCTAATGTCATCTGCTGTGGATCGTAACTAATCTCACTGGTCGTCTACTGTGGGTGAAATTCACAAGGTAATCTCAATGTATATACAAGCATTGGGTTTCTACATTGAAATTCCAAGTTCTCAGGCCGTGAAAACCGCACAGCATGCGTTTATAGCTATATGCAGGTAGCTAGGGATGAGCAGGCGACACCGTGACTATCCATTTCAGTGATGAAACTGATAAATCAAAAGCTATTATAATTCTAAAGTTACAACAAAATTCTTTAAGATGTATCTTTAAAAAAAAAGCCTTCTTATTCTTTTTATTAAATAAAGGAAAGAAACAATCAAATTTGAAATTTGGGTCAGCGGTCTTGATTTTTTTAAAGGTGGACTTATATTGACAATGAAGACTTTCAATGACCATGCAGTTGTAAAAGAAATATATAACTATTTCACAAGTTTGTAAGAGCTCTCAGGTACATGTAGATGGTAGAAAAGATTTTGTGGCTAAAAAAACCCGGCTTCAAACAGTAATAATTGTATTTCAACATAAAGACATTATGGGAAAAATGAAATTAAAAATCCTTAATCTGGAATTAATCTTTAAACCATATTATATTTGTGTAACTGGCGAGATTCGACTCCCCCCTCCCCAAATCTCTAGATCTACTCAGGCTCTACCAATTCAGCTACCTGGTCATCTGCCATCGAATCTGCCTAACTGCCACATTTCTTCCTCCTTTAAGGTTTTCGCCCGCGAAGGCTCTTCCATTGCAGGTCATTAACATGTCACTTCCAGGGCATGGCTCGGCACCACCAAATATGTAAATAGCGAGGGAAAAAATGTGACGGATTCGAACCCGAACCCCCTGAATCTCTACTCGATCATACAATATTAGAGCGTATTTAATTCATTATTTAAAACAATTTTAGATGGCTTTATAATCAGAGTTACTTAAATCACACTTCGGAATGAGTTAATGGGTTTAAAGACGCAGATATATTAGCAATTTAATATATATATTGTAACTAATTATGATACCAGATCACAGTAATACAAGAGTTAGAGTGGCATAGTATTGTTTGTGACCAATTATGAAAAATATTTTGATTTATTTGCGGAACACTTCAGTAACTGATTACTTTTCTATTTCCTAAATCAATCTTTAAATATATTTTCAATATAGACTCTAAGTAGTGAAAATTTGATTCGCGTAAATTTAGTATATACATGTACTTTAAGGATCTAATTCAGGGAAAAACCTGATATAATGATTTTATAGATAAACCACTACAGTGTTTGGACAACATCCGATTTGATTTGTTTGCAATCTTTTATCTTTCAGCTAGTGAAGTCGGATTGGTTTCGCTGTTCCGGATTAGGTGGAAATAAAATTTTGACTTCATGAAATCAGGCATTAATTATCTCCACATCTTCTAATATATTACAATGAAGAATCTCACTGGTAATATTTCATAATCTTCACTTGTCCTTTTCCATACTGAGCAATGGACAGATTGTCATTTATATCGATGCACAGTCCCCAGGGATAACTAAGTCCACAACCTATGTAACGAAGAAACTGTCCATTCTGGTCTATGATATGGATACAGTCATTGCTATAATCAGCTGTAAGGATGTTACCCTGACTGTCTGTGATGATTGAATGGTATGATCTTTGGAGCACGAGTATGTCCAGTGTACCTGAACCTCAGTTTTCCAGACTTACTGACCACCACTACTGCTCTAGATTTACTATCAGTAACACATATATCCAGGTTTCTGTTCTCAGTAATGCATCTGTAACAAAAACCAGATGAATAGTGAGGGTTACCTTTATCATCAAACTGAATGGTTCCTTTTTCTTTCGAGCCAGAGTAACGGACAACTTTTGATTGTTTCCAATCATCTGTGTCCATGACAACCATGATATCACCGCAAGAAGTGCTACAGACACTACGAGGTCTCCAGTGCTGTAGTCTGATCATCTCTTTTGTCGTTTCATTCTTCACCATTTTTACAGATCGATCATTGTGATTAGTATAAATAACTTCTCCACAATTTCCCATTGCTATGTCATCTGGTATGTTTCCTGTTTTGATTGTGATTGATTTGAGTAGTGATCCTTGATTGATGTTAAAGAGTTTCATGGTGGGTTCTTCTCCACTTGTCCAGATTTCTCCATCACCCAGACAGGCCACATTGATAAGATATTCATAACCAGTGTTCAAAGTGATGACAGTCTCTGGTTTATCAAGCAGATGTTTGACTTGAAAGGACCCAGCTATTGCTGATTTTTGTGTTTTGTTCATGCAATAGCCACGTTCATCTGATTTTAAGGACATTGGTGTCAGACTACAAAGTTGATCTGCCAGTAATTTCTTCGGAGAAAAATTGGGTAATGAAACTATTATTTTTTTAGGAAGTTGTCTATACTCATCAACTGTGGAAGGGACTTTAAGCAGATTTGAAATGTGCGTAGAATCTAGAGCAGTATCAACTGAATTGATTGCTTCCTTGATCTTTGAGATTTTCTCGTGTATTTCACTTAAATGTTTTCGTAAAATGTCTAGCTGTCTGTTTTTCATCTTATGAACTTTGGCTTTAAGTTTCTTGACAAGTTTGTCAATTTCTCTGTGCCAGACCTTTCCGTATTTCGTTATAATTGTTGAGAGATCACGATATCCCTTTCCTAGTTAACTCATTCTGTTTTGTACATCAGAGGCAATCGCCATGTATGTTGGAAAAATTTCTTCATTGAGTTCAGTTTGTTCTTTCTTAATCTTGTCTCTGATTTGCAGGAGTTTTATTAATTTATGCCCAAGATGGTAATCTGAGGCAAGACAGTTACTGAAAACAGGAAAGTCACATTGAGTACAGTACATTTCACATGTTTCTTCATCATGAGAGGTGCATCTTGGATAAATAAGAGTTGATTTTCTGTCCCTGAAACCAACAATTTTATGAGGCTTTGAGAGATCAGTCGAAGAGTGCTCCCCTACACAGACTTTGCACAGGTTAACAAGACATGTATCACAGTGTATCTGTACCACAGCAGTCTCACACAGGTCACATCGCATTACATCCTGGCAACTGATACGGGTGTCCATGATAGGTTCTCCGTTAAAATCTAAGCTAAGAGAAATTAATTTCAAATTATTATTAAAATGCTCATGCTTGTTTTAAAACGACTTCTTGTGCAATCAATCCCTTCTTATAACAAAAAGAAAAGGGCCATACAAATTAAAACTAAGTAATTTTTTTCATTAAAAATGTTTTAACATCAATTTATTGAAATCAGAACTGAATTCTGAGAGTAAAAATTTATTATATATTACCTGATTTCAAGCAGTAATGGCTGCTTTCTTCAACAACAATTGACATACCCACATACCTGTATGTTATTTATTCTTCCGGGTCAAATAAAATTAGACATTCACTGTAAATATCATGAGTACATAGAAGAGAAAGAGAATTCCAGATGTTTTGTGCAACCATAACAAATTATAGATTTTTTCCAAAAAAAAAAAAAAAAATAAATAAATAGAATATTTCACTTGGGAAGAAAGCTATTCTTTGCCTGTTCGGGCCAGATGCCATTTTTATCCCAGGATAATTAGATATGTTATCCATATTTGAAATCCAAAACGATGATTCTGGGACACCCCCCCCCCCCCAAAAAAAAAAACAGCAAAACATTTAAAATTACCTTTTTAATACATTAGAAATATAATATCTGATTAATATATCGGGTCTACATTTTCCCTTCAAGACGTTGTTTTTAAATTGAAATAAAAGGCTTCACGAGAAAGTTCTACTTGATGAAAAAGATTCAGTTCTCCTGTAGATGTTCGGACGTATCACAGATAAATTACCCCCGTTGTCCATTGATTCATATTCTTAATCTGATTGATTCATACAACTTTTTTGACGAAAGCCTCTCAGTTTGTCATATTTTTTAAATTCGAGGTTTAATATTCTGCAACAAATGAATCTTTTTTTAGCTTGAAATTCTGGAACACTCTCTAATAACTAAAGGAACTCTGCACTTTTAAGCCGTTCAAAGTTTCTAAAAATATTTTTGATAAAAATAGTTTAACAGCATTTGACATGTACAACTTATAACTTATGTTAAATGATCTAAATATGCTTAAATCAGAGTGGACAATTTATACATAATGGCTGGTATTACTAGATTCCCCAGAGATAGCTTTATTTAAGGACACGAACACTGGAGGTAAAGCAAAATACAGCTTATCATTGTATCTTCTGGAACCCCTAAACTGTAATGTACTGCATCATTTTTCTCCGATTTCAGCACTTGGGTATACCTTTCGCATTCGCTACACCTGATTGCTTTTTTGGCTGCCGAAGTGTCAAAAACTTTTACCGGGTATTTATATGACAAGAGGCATCATAAGGGGACAATAATGGCAATTATAAATAAATAAATAGATAAATACAATAAATTATAACACTTAGTAATGATACCCCTCCTCCTGTAAATCGCATGCATGTGTAAAAAAAATCCATCTGCATACATACTAATACAGAGTTGTTGTGAATCTTGCATACGTGATTTAGATATGTTTTGGATAATTATAAGTTTTTGGAGTCAAATTACATGTGCTCCTATTTTGGACTTAGGCTTGCTTACTAGAAGTTTCTATTAAGGAAATCCGATCCTCAGCCAGGAAGGATAACTCTTTAATTTATTATTTAATTCCAAAAGTCTCAAAATGAAGCTTAAATATGAAATCTTTTCCTGCAACAATTTTCATTTTATGCATCTCAATGTGATTCAAGGTTCTTTGAAGTTTTAGAAACATGCTTTTAAAACTTTGATATTTTTTCCCTATAAAGGTATGTTAAAAATACAGATCATAATATCATTAAGAAATTTAAGGTCAACACATTATTATGTATAAAAAAAACATTTATTTTGTTGATATGTGCAGTTTCATTGTATTTTATCAAATGGAACTCATGTTACTTAGGCATTGAATTCTTATTTTTTGGATGTCGTCGGTCTTATAACACACATGGCCGTGCCGACAAATTGAATACGCCACGGCCAGGTGTGTTATAGGACCGTCAACACCCAAAAATAAGAATTCAATGCTCATACATGTATTTACATTCTCTAATTTTCTCTCTTCATAATTTTTTATTTCGTTAATTTTATTGTGAAATAAGCGCCTTTCAGAACTGGTGTGCTTAAGGTCAGACAACATGTTCCTCGAAAATATAAAAATTTCCCCAAGAATTTGTCATTGAAGTATCGCTACTTAAACAAGTTTCCTCACCAAAAATTGAGGTACCTTACCAGGCATTTGGGCAAGGGCAGAGGGTGATATTTCTTATATAATCCTTATGGGTAATCTTTTGAATTGCCAATGTCACAATTTTTGGTATACTTATTTTATAAAACATATTGAAAACAATTTAGAAATCACAAGAGAATGACAATTATGAATGATTTTTGATATAATACCAAGATATACAAAACATATGTTTGAGGAACGTGTCGTCTGACCTTAATAGACGTAAAAGCCGTTTGTGACGTTCTAAAGTTAAATAACGCAAATGAACATTATATTGCGAGGAAAAAAAAATGACAAATTAACGCACAGTTGTAGTATTTTTACGTTAATTTAACAGAGTAGTTGTTTTTTTTTTTTTATTAAAATGAGTCAAAACAATATATACATTTTGGTGTTCCTTGATATTGAAAATGCATATAGTACCTATTGTGTATTCTACCCCGCGGTGGCAGGGTTTCGCGTGTGTTATAGAGATGTGAACGTCGCAGATTTCTAATGAATTCCATAAAGAAAATTACACTGAATGTAAATATATTATTTTTATAATAAACATGTTTTGTCACCACGGAGCACTCTTATCAACGTAACGTCAAAACATTACGTCATGACAGTTTCTATCTTCATTTCACACATAGTATGTGGTTCAAAAAAAAAAACTTTACCTCTTCTTACTTTGCCAGCAATTATTCGGGTAATATGAAGATAATTCGTCGGTTTCTTCAATTGTTTTTTACCGGGTACTCTGCTTTCAAATGTGAAGCGTATATCCCTTTCCATGACATTACGAACAATTTTGACCAGAATTTAACTGATAATTCCTTTTCTTGGAAGCCGTTCATCGTCCAATGCATTCTCTATAACTCAGAAAATTCCTTTGTCATTTATACACACATGCTCTGCTAACTTCTGATATATTTTTTGCATTTTGCATTTTTTTCTAAGTTAGTTATGAAGATTTCCAGACTGAAACTCAAATTGTATCTCTTTCCGCTGCTCCGCGAGGTCGAGGGACGTCATCTTTTTTGTTTTTGTCCTTTTCAATGAGGACAACTTTTCTTCTGCAATTGATTTCTTTTTAACGAAACTATGTAGAGCGCCACAATTTGGCATATGAAATGATGTAACCATCCTCGATTAGAATGTATGATTTTTTATTTTGTTTACGCCATTTTCAAGAGATTTGACTAAAGACATGACATAGAGTTCGCGATTACATTGATAAATTTTGTCTTGCGCAGTGACCCTTTTTTGTAGTTTTAAGTTTGAAATAATTTTATATTTATAATTTAATATGCACATTGTGACAAAGTTTAAAAACTAGTTTCCATCTCTCTCTCTCTTTCTTTCTCTCAGTCTCTGTACCCCTAGATGATAGAGATTATGAAAGTATGCGCATTGTGAAAAAAAATTAAAACTTAGATTCAATATCATATTTCACTGATTCTGATTTATAGCTAGTTAAAGGTATAAATTAATGAAAGGTGTATTCAATTTTATCACAGAGTATCCAGCGAAAGCAAAACCGTGCTGCCTAGGCTATTATTCTCATTCAATCATAGACTTTGAATAAGAACCATTTTAGCTTAAGACTTCAAGTTTAAATAGGCAGAAAAAGAAATCTCAACTTCTCCGAAATGGAACATCAGATTCTAGACGAAATATGTATAGAGATCATCTTGTTACCAATACTTGGGAGGGGTTTGCAAAAAGTGAACAAAAAAGAAATGGTCAACCTATGCCGGTGAAAAAAAATCCTCAAAGACAGAGTAGTGGAAACCATAGGGACAACGGGGAGTCTCGGACAAATTCGGGGAAATCGAGGATGCATGCAGCCCCGCTTTGCTTCCACTAGTAGCCTACAGGTAAAATATATATGTTATGTGTCCAAAATTAAACGTTTTGCTGACAATTAATATTTATACACATTACATGTGAGCTATGCATATAGTTAGTTTAAGTAATATATGTACTCGATTTGTTAGCTCATATTATAATAAGTTATACAAGGACATCCATTTTCTATTTTTTGACATTAGGAAATTCTAAGAGTGACGTCCATATTATAGAGAAAATAATATTCTATTGAAAAAATGGAACTTATTTCAATTAAAAAAACATCTTCCACATAGACTGCCTCTTTACATTTTTATTTGTAAAGAAAACATGATTCATAGCGATACCCGCTTGTTCATTATTTTTGGAAAGTTCAATATCTGGCCGAAATGGAAAAAATGTGTTTTTCTTTTATTTTAAAAAGGAATAATACGTATTTGTTAAGTAATAATAATTTAAAATGTGTAAGTGATGAATTTCCAGCATCCTGCAAGGTTGCATTTGAAAAGATTCATCATGATGATATACTAGTCAATAATTTTCTAGCTAGAAAGAAATCAACAATGTAAAAACAACTCTCTCTCTCTCTCTCTCTCTCTCTCTCTGGCAAAATTCACATTAGCATTTTAATTAGGATACATATGTAAGTATATATTTTCAATAGCTTAAAATTGTATGTACAAAATTTCATTTGTCATTTTTAACAATAAATCAGAGTTTGATATTTGATACTGTGTCTTCGATAAGTCGTCATCCCAATAGCTGGAATGGAGAGAAAGAAACCTATGTATGCTTCCCACAGTTACCACTTTTTATGACCAGTGTAACAAGCATTTCAGTATGGTAAATGCCAGCATGTCAATGTTCAAAACAATCATATTTATTGTAGACTATTAAAGAGCTTGATCTCAGCGGTAATATTTAATTTTCCTCACTTTGTTTCTCTATTGAGCAATGAACAGATTGTCATTTGTATCTATACACAATCCCCAGGGATAATTATGACCGCATTCGAAGTTACGGAGGAACTGTCCATCCCGGTCTATGATGTGGACACAGTCATTGTTAATATCAGCTGTAAGGATGTGACTCTGACTGTCAGTAGTAATTCCTTGTGGACTGAATGGTTTGTTATTTGGAGCAGGTGTATGTCCAGTGTGCCTGAATCTCAGTTTCCCGGCCTGATTGACCACCACTACAGTTCTTGCTCCTCTATCAGATACACAGATATCCAGGTTCCTGTTCTCAGTAATGGATCGGAAATAATGACCGGAGGAAAAGAGAGGTTTACCTTTATAATCAAAATAAATGTTTTGCTTCTCTGTGGATCCAGAGTAACGGACAACTTTTGACAGTTTTCTATCATCCCTGTCCATGGTAACCAGGAGATCACCAGAGGAGGTACTACAGATACCTTTAGGTGTCCAGTTTTGTAGTCTGATCACCTCCTCTACTTTCTTATTTTTTACAATGTTCACAGTTCTATCATTACTATCAGTATAAACTAGATCTCCACTTTTTATCACTGCTATGTCACATGGGAAGTTCTCTGACTTGGCTTTGATTGACTTGAGTAGTGATCCCTCAGTAATGCTGAAGAGTTTCATGGTGTTGTCATCTCCACTTGTCCAGATAACTTCATCGATATCATTCAGACAGGCGACCTTGTAAAGTCTCTCATACCCAGTGTCTATGGTGGTAACGGTCTGGGGTTCATCAAGCAGCTGTTTGACTGGAAGAGAGGATCCAGCTTGTTCCATTTTTTCTATCATCTTAATGTTGTATCCGTGTTCATCTAATTTTAAAGGAATTGGCGTCAGACTAAATAATTGGTCCCTCAATGATTTCTTTGGAGAAAATTTAGGTAAGGAAACTATGACTTTCTTTGGAAGCTTTCTATATTCATTAACTGTGGAAGGGACACTAAGCAGGGTGGAAATTTGTGTTGTATCTAAAGCAGTATCATATGAATGTATTACCTCCTTAATGTTCGATATTTTCTTTTGTATTTCATTTAAATGTTTCTGTAGGGATATAAGTTGTGTGTTTTTCATCTCTTCAATTTCAACTTCAAGTTTTTTTTTACACGTTTGTCAATTTCTCTGTGCAAGTCTTCTCCATGCTTTGTTATGGCGTTAGAGAGATCTTCATATTGCTTTTCTAACTGAATCATTCTGTTTTGTACATCAAAACAATGGCCTGATAAGTTGGATGAATTACCATGTTAAGTTCAGATTGTTCTTTAACGATCTTAGCCCTTTTTTTCATTTTGGACTTGCAGGACTTTTACTAATTTATGTCCTAGATGTTGATCTGAGGCAAGACAAAAACTGCAAACAGAAATGTCACACTTAGTAGAGTACATTTCACAAGTTTCCTCATCGTGTTGGCTGCATCCAGGATAAATAAGAGTAGAGTTTCTGTTTTTGAAATCAACAATTTTATGATGTTTTGAGAGATCAGAAGAGAAGTGTTCCCCTACACAGGCCTTACACAAATTAAAAAGGCACGTATCACAGTACATCTGTACCACGAACTTCTCACACAGGTCACATCGCATCACATCCTGGGCACTGGTACGGGGGTTCATAGTTTAATTTTTCGTTGAAAATCTGTGTGGAGAAATTAATTTAAGATCATTGAAATGCAAATGCTTGAATTTTAACTGCGTACATACGTCCTGTAATCCCTTAAAGAATAAGAAAAGGGCCATTGAAATTTAAAGTGTCATTTTTTTTTATAAGAAAATATTTTTACTTCGATTTATTGAAATTAGGACTTTAACTGACTTCGGAGAATTACAACATGCTTGTCTAAAGATTTAACCAGCCTATACGAAAATGTCTAGTTGAACATCAACTACAGTCGTCAACGAAAAACCCGGTAACAGTTGACTACTAGGAGTTGAATGCTTTTTCTGAACAGCTGTCAACTGCTTTGCATAAAATGGTCAATTAACGGTTAAGTGACTGTTTTCCACTGAGTTGACTACTCGTTGAATGCTGATACTATAAAAATTTTACGCAAAAAAGAATCTGCCTTTGTTGAATACTGTAACTTCGTAAAATCTTGCAGAGTTGAATATAGATGTCATCTCGGTGAATTTTCTTGACTAGACTAGCCTAAGCACTAGGCTGGTTTAGGATTAATTTTTAATTTTCCATGGCGCGAAACTCTTGGTAGGAGCTATTATGTGCAAGCAGATTTACATCGGAATTTATCAACAACAAAAGGTAGCCAAGTAAAAATCTCCAAAATAATGCATAATACATGTATTGCGTGTTTAATTACTTCCTTTGGATTTTTTCCATGTAACTATATGGACATGTCCGTGTGATCTTTATTCTGCGTTTCTATTCTTCTGCATGGATCAGTTCCATTTGTCTTCCTTAAAACGTATGCCAAGATGTTATACACTTTATTCTTGATTTATCGATCACGTGACCGCTACTAATTAATATTCATTATTATTGTGATATTTCTAGAAATCCTCATAATTTATTGATCGATGATCCTTTTCTGAAATAAAAAAATATAAATTTGATCATATTTTCATTATGTTAACAATCAATTATGTCAACAATCAAGTGTTAATTATGTTTTCTCAGACTAACAACAACTGTATTTTCCCCACATGGAGGCTCATTCACTTTGTCTAAATTCTGGCTTAAGTGAAATATATAGATAACGAAAAGTATTCAAGTCAAATTCCATTAAAACAGTACAAATCGGAAGAAGAGCAAACACGGACCTCCAAAAACATTAGAGGTGGATCAGACGTCATTGATGCGTGAGCATAATTTTCAAGTTCAAAAGGAACCTTCTTATCATTTTAAACTAATGATTTATTTTTTGAAATTGGAAGTACACACCTTCAGGACAAATGAGAATAAACTCTGTCAAAAAATGTCAAATATTTCTAAATTTACTCCACAAAAGCTTTCCCAGCTCTTTCGCCACAATTTCCTATATTAAAGTCATGAAGCACCGTTTCAGATTTTCAAACTCAAAAGGAACCATCAACTCTTTGTTATTTTGTAAACAAAAAAGTGCACTCCAATCCAGGACTCAATAAAAGATAGAACCATATGAGGAAGAAATTATTCCGAATTCATGATTTTTTAAAAAAAAAAAAAAATCTGTTTTCCCTTATATAACAGAAATCTGCAATATTAAATACTACATGGCCGATACGCAGCAAAATGTACACCATTTCTCTATATGAGGGGTGACACAGTCAGTTATTTGGCGTGAAATAATGCCATGAGTAAATTCTTGGAATGTTCTATTGAATGGATGTGATGGCTTCCTGGAACCAAAGAAGTATTTTGTTATAGCCTAATTAATTCTCGAGCGTCGCCAGCATGGCGCAGTGGTAAAGCGTCTGCTCTAGAGTCGCGGAGTAAGGACTTGATCCTTGTGTCGCAGGTCCGAATCCCACTGCGGGGCGTAGAGACCGGTCCTTCGGATGAAACCGTATAAACCGTGGTCCCGTGTCACAAATTCCTCACTGCTCAATGGCCCTGAGTGCCGAATATAGGTCAAAAATTTGCAGCTCTCCACCGGCAAGTGGTTGCGTCTCCATATGAGTGAAAAATTCTCGAGAGGGACGTTAAACAACAAACAAACAAAAAAAAATTCTCCAGCTTTGGAAAGTTTCTTTTATCATATTTTAGATATAACGCATAGTATATGCATGGGCAGATAAACTTAAAGCATCCAAAAGATTTTCTATGTTTTCTTAGTTACCGGTATTTCATTTTCTTGTTTACCCCAAAGTGGATTAGTCCGATTCATTAAACGAAAACCGAGATTTAATTTTAGATTCTTTACTCCGCTTTTTAAAACAGGTTCAATATTCTTACAGTATGGTATACAATAGTACTTCATGATGTTTATATGCATTGACACCTGCTTAGCGATAAGGAATAACTTCCCTTATTACATAATTTTTTTTAAAGTATGTAGATTCAAAGACAATAAATGAAATTTTTGTCTTACGAAGTATATTTACAGGCACGGTTTTTTTTTCAATATACATACATGCAGTTCAACAAAAAAATTTGGTTACATCTCTTCTAATCATTTGTCAAGATTTGGTTAGCTTTTCTGGTATGATATATGATACTTTTGCCAAGAACCTAGAACACAAAACATAGTACATGTGTTTACCTGTTTATAAAAATCATCATTTCTTCACATTATTAGAGTTTGCTTGCTAAGTAGATATCACATGTTATCACATTTTAGCTGTCTTTTGGTATCTTTTACCTTGTGTGTTTTTAAAACATATTCATGTGCAACCTTTTCACAGCCAAGCATTCCATCTTGATTTATCGATTTCAATCAAGTTTTCAGATTGTACTTTAACCAAACCTTTCATACTTAAATACAGCTTTGCACCATAACACGTTTCAAAATAAGTTTAAGGAATCTGATACTTGCATCTATAAAAAATAACTGTCATCTTCATCAATCCCCCCCCCCCCGCCCCAAATCAGTTTTCTTATTTTTTCCTTACCTTGTGACACCACAACTCCCTCGAAGGGTCATGAATGGAACAAACTTTTATCTACATTATCCAAGGATGCTTCCATATAAAATGACTAATCATGGTTTTGCTGTTCTTAAGAAGATGGTTTTTAGAGATCTTTCCTATATACGAGTATTTATAAGTAAAACTTTGATCGCCCAAATCTGAACAAACTTGAATCTATACTTTCTGAAAATCCTTCCATATAAAGATGACTAACCATAGTTTTGATGTTCTTGAAAGGAATTTTTAAAAAATTTTTCCTATATAAACCTTTGATCGACTAATGTGGCCCTACCCTACCATGATTTGAAACAACTTGAATCTACACTAAGGAATGAAACTTTTACACAAGTTTAATTTTTCTGGCCCAGTGGTTTTGAGAACAGAAGGTTTTCAAATGCCATTAAATGTTTGCTAATTCTTAATTATTGTATATTTAAAGAAGGCGTGACCCTTCATTCGAACAAAATGAAATCCCTTTCATTCTGGATACTTTGTGGTTCTCAAGATGAAGTCGAAAACGTGAAAAGTTTACAGACAGACGGACGGATGCCGGACAAACCGTTATCAGAAAAGATCAATTCAGCTTTCAGCTCAGGTGAGCCAAAAAAAGAAAAAAAAACATAAAATTAATTCAATACGTGCAGGAGAGAAATGGCAATCTACAAGTTATTTACACCAATAAATCCTTAACATGCTGTCAATTAAAAGAAAGGAATAATTAGAAGTGGTGATACATAAATTAATGGATAGCAATGAAGGCTAATTTCACTTTAAACTTTTAATATTGTAAACGTATAAAATTACTCGAAATTCTTAGACTGCCACTTTTTAATGCACTTTTAGTACGCTTTGACAATTTTTCGCATACATAGCGAAAATTAATCCCACGCGGAAAAAGTACGCCTGTAACTAAGTACTTAAAAATATTTCTTTCTAGAGAACTGCACAAGAGAAGAAGCGCAATCTCAAGTTTAGTTATTTTACAGTCATAGATCCCAAGCTTACTATACATTAAAAGAAATATATTCAAAAGTTTTATGCATGTAATAATTGACGACAATAGAATCTTTTGATTTTGGTTAGATGGTAATAACTTCAAGAAATTTTACCTGTCTTTGGTGTGCTGACGTGTTCTACTTTATCCTGTCTTTGGTGTGCTGACGTGTTCTTTTTTCTTCCGGTTTGGCTTGGTTATATCTGATGTTCAACAGCTGTTCAAGCTCCATATATAGCTCAGTTTTATATATCACATTACTCTACAACTATGGCACAGTCAGTACAACTAGATATTATTTGTAGGGAAAGTGGTCCCGGACGGATAGCAATGAAGACTTATTTCACTTTGGGTTTTTAAACTTTTAATATTGTAAACGTATATTTTACGGGTTCATAATTCCGCAGACATAATTTTTTTTATTCAATCATCGGGTATAAAATTTTCCGTGACTGATGTTTGCATGCGTTCAGCACGAGGTGTTTTTCTCATATTGCAGGACTTCCAACTAGTTTTTCAAG